CTTTCAGTGAAAGATTGACTGTCGACACTTCAGCTTGCAAAGAAATCTTGTGGAGGTGTAAATAAGAAGCTCGCCATCTGCTGCTCCTTTACCTTTCCAGACTACCAGTGTTACTTCCAATGATTGATTCTTTTATTGGAGTCTCAGATTCAACTAACTGGATCCTCTCTCTGTAGACAATGCTGTGCTTACTACTCACTTTCCCATTTTGTTTTCAACCAACTCTAGCAGCTTTGCTGTTTGCCAGCACTTTTTGGAAACATTTCTCTTTAAAAGTCCTTTTTACAGCTGCTGCTTATTATCTCTCCAGCCTGGATGCCTCAAAGACCTCAGTGATTTCGGGATTGTCTGAAGTTCTGTAGTAAAGGATGCATCACCTACAACAAGGTTGCTTTCAGAAAGTGCAAATGTTTCTAAGTCTGTTTTTACACCACCCTGTAGCTCTCCATGCTGAGAGCTCTTTATGATCCCTCTACCTTTCAACACTTTTTTTCATTTTAACAATGCCCCATGAAATTCTAAAGCTTGATGTACTTGCACACATGCAGAGATCTTGCTGACAGCAAATGTTTTTTGGAAGATTGTGGTCAGTATGACAGGTGACAACAATTCATAGAGAACTCAACAGTAGTGACACGTTTTTAATCTAGACAGTATCTTGTATCATTTAACCATATATGAACGGTAAAGTAACATGTCTGTAGAAAGGTGACCATTGCCTATATATTTTACATAGCTGTTCTCCATTGCTATAAGGCCACAGCACTTTTATACTGTGTTTCATGTCAACAGCAATACCCTTATGTTGCATTAAAGTGCACCTCATACATTAAATTATTCATTGAAATACATCCTAAATTAATATTCCGTCTCCTCTCCAATGGTCACTTTTGCAAATGTTAATAAATATTGTTTACAGAAAGACCTCAGCAATATTTTTGATTAATGGCTAGTAAGGGGACTTTAATAATACTCTACAGGAGCTTTTAATTTTGGAAACAGCACGTCTTCGATTAGGTTCAACTGAAGCTGGGGCCACAATACATTAACTTCTTCCCCATTTTATCCCATATTCCCAGTTGGGTCAAATCTGCATCAGTCTGCTGTAGCTGCAGTCAATCAGCAGGAAAAGTCACAGCAAAAATCTGTTAGCGTAAGATGGAATGAAGACTGGGGTCTGCAAGTCTGTGAGGAGTACCGATCCAACCCGACCTCCGTCACAGTCAAACAAACATGGATCTGGCTAGTCGGCCAGTGTGAACTCATCATTGACCCAACTCCAAAAATCTGTTGCCAAAAGCTGATGACAAAAGAAAGGCTGGGATACAGAGACAGCTGCAAGGCATAAATACGCAACAGCAATGGACATATTGCAAACAATTACCCAACAACTTGCTATCACATTATGATAATAAACAGAAAAGCAACAGAGACAGATAGTTGGATAAACACAGAGAATGTAATGAAGGGTCTCATTGAAATAAACCAAACAGCTCACTTATCAGATTCAAAGTTAATGGGGGACATCCAACATTTAAAGTACCAACCCGACAGACAAACTCGCAATCTCAATTACATGTTCCAAACTTTCACCACGACAATAATAAAGAAGACTGTCAGCAAGATCCAAACCACATTCACTTGTCTGTTAAGCTTAACTTCAATTTCCGTTTATTTCATTTTATGGAGATTTAACAGAAATACAAGTCACTAGAATTCTGATAAAAGCTTCAGTTGCCGCCATCTACTGATCTTTTTGCGTTTTCAAGCTATTATCCTTGTTTAATGCACTCGTGAAACTTTCAAAAGTATAATAGAATTGGTATCAGTTACGATCATCTTCCTGGGCTTGAAAATAAAAATTGTTTCTAACTTGCTCGGAGTATGATTCAGTTTCTTGTTCTCTTTTCTATTTCTGCAAAAATGACCTGCAGGTGGCAGAACATTTTACAACAACATCTATTTCAGATGTATGCTTGTGTGCAAAGAGGTTATTTAGTTTAATGATATGATGTGCAAAGCTTTAGTAATCTAATGAAAAGCATTTTGAATTAGATGTACCAATATTTTGTCAAGATTTCACCCGAGCTGGAATTATCAGGTAATGTTTTCCATGAGAGACATTGGAAAACATGTCTCTTATATTTGGCAAAAGATTTGGATCACTTAAGATTGAAACACTCTCCTGCAGAAAGCTACAAGTAAATCACATGTACCTTGACTGAATATCATGTATTATTTTGTTGAGATGAGGAGTCTGCACAGAGACTAAAAAAACTGAGCTGAATTTCCTCCCCCTATGATGCAGAAGTATCACTTGATATCTTTTTCACTTGACTAAGGGCAGATTTGTATTTGATTGTGAACTATTCATTCTGGATGAGAATGAATAGTATTCATATTAAAGTGTTGCATAAAATCAGTAATGCAAAAAAATAAAGCACCACATTAACATTTGTTTTTTCATTGATACTGATAAAAGAAATTTGTACTTGGAAAGTCAGAGGTTTACAAGCAATCGTGCATTCAAATTTAATATGGCTGCCAACCAATAGTGAACCTCCCAAGAATAAATAGTTTCTTTGAGCTTCTGTCAATCAAACCAGTGGGACATGAACAGGGTGCGGTTCAATCCCAATTTGTAGGTTTTGAATTAAGAAAAGTAAGTTATCTGCTGGTATTGCTGATATCAGTAAGCAGTGACCCTAACTATTTGCTAATTCAAGTCAACATCTCAAAGTTGTTGTGCACCTCTAACCATTATTTTTAACAATTTCTGCTTTTCAGGATGGCACATTACCCTGGTAAATGTTACCACAACCACAAAGGGATTCTGTTTCACTATGGTCCTCAACAATGGATTTTGTATATGTTACATGTACCAAAAGCACAAGAACTATCACATAGTGGAGAGCCGGAATGCAAGGAGCAAAGCTGGAGTCAGTTCTCTGAGACATGATGTAACATCCACTTTTATCTCAGAACCCAGAAATTCAGAACATTTTTCAAAGTTTCACACTATTTCTAAAGGTTATGCAGCCCCATGGTGACAAACTGTGGTGCTCTGTTAATGCTCACTTGATCACTTGTGGGTGGTCATAATGTTATGCCTAATCAGTGTATTTAACTAAAGAATACAACAGGGTTTGCTACCGTTTAGTTACATTCTAGCACATTCCAAAACTCTGGTTTTAAGAGCATGCCGCCTGTCACTTTTTTTAAATTTATTTATTTTTATCAGATCGTCTTCCCGGCTCTGACCTGGGAATTAAGCAACAACTCTTGGTAACTGTCTTGATCATTTTTTATTTATTTCAAAACATCTGATATGACAAAAGGAAGCCTTGCTCACACTCCACCTTTGAAGTAATTCTACACCGATGACCAGACACTCACCTTGGAGGTGATTAGCCTTGAAAAGTGGAGGGTGAAAGTGAATACACCATAAGCTCTTCATCCTTTTACAATCTCAGACAGAAAGCAACCATCTTTATCAGTTACACAGGGTCCAGCTCTACAGAAGACTCGATGTTTTAGTCAAACACCAGGAAAACACTGCTGGCTCAGCAGCTGACAGTCTCAAAATGGAGGAAGCAGGAGGACAGTGATGCCAGAGTTTTTTTTTTTCTTTTTCTTTTTTTTTTTTTACAGCAACGGCCACAAGGTCATACAACCAAGTGCAAAATGATAATTCTCAATGGTCTATGCAGCTGTTTGGATACACAGTTTTGAATTTTGAAATTTGGAACAATTTTTACAATGATTTATTTTATATTTTTATCATGGGAGTATCAGAGTTAGAAAGCCATTCCCACACATACACACGCACACAGAAATGATTACTTCATGCCCTGTTGTTTTCCCAAGAAAATATCATTTTTTCCTGCTAATGCCACACTGGCCATGAGCTCTTACTCTGCCATATTGCTCTATGCAGACTCACACAGGCAGCTGTAAAGAAATAAAAGAATGATTAGTGTGTTTTTGCTACATGACTGGAAATTCAATCCACAGCGGACTGAAGCGAAGCATGAAGACAAACTGTTGAATCAGACCCACACACACACACCAACACAAACACACGACCAAAATGGCACCATCATCATTAATCCCTGAAGTGTTTTATCTCATCAAGCTTTGAGGAACTGTGTGTATTTTCAGTATTGGGAGAGAAGGATGGATGTATGGATGCAAGGAAGGAAGGAAAGATGAAGGAAAGGAAAGGAATGGTCATTTCTCCTATAGCTCTGAATCCCAATCTCCCCTGTCTGTCCTAAGGAGTGATCTTCACAACAGCTTGTTCCTTGCTGGTGCACCAGCTGCTAATGCGCGCACACACAAACACCAGAAGACGGATCCCAGATCTGATAGGTGCCCCACAGCTAATAACACTGAAGGGATGAAAGAAGGAGATGGAGGGGGAAGGTTTCTGGAGAAACCCATAACTCATATGATGGCTATGCGCAACAACCAGCTGAGAAATTGCAGAATGCAAATGTCTGTGCGCTGATCGCAGGCGCATGTATGCGGGTTTTCAGAAATGTCACCTCTGAATCACAGCTGCTTGCTTCTGCCACTGACGAGAACTTATGCTCTGAGTTTATACGTGAGGGAGGTGTGTGTGTGGGGGGGGGGGGGGGGGGTGGAGGGACCAGACCAGACACCGGTCTGTACGCTTGTGCGCGTCGGGGTTAAAGGCAGCCAAAAAAAAAACAGCACGAGCAGTTTGGCGTGCGTGCATGCGCATCAATGACATAGGGGTCAAAGCCTCGCGCACCGGCCGGCTGCGTCCTGCCCGTAACAGTGCGAGCCGGTGGAGAGTCAGCACGGGAAGCTTCAGAGAAACGCAGCAGCATCACACAGTGGAGAGCCGGAATGTGAAGGGCAAAGCTGGAGACAGTTCTCCGAGACGTGGCGCAACATTTTCACCTTCAAACGTGAGAACCCAAAGGGGGGAGAGGAAAACAAGTGTCCGACAGCAGACAGGAGAATTTACTCACTGTTCTCAGCAGCCTCGCACTCTTCCTCCTCTTCTTCCTCTTCTCTTTTTGCTCTCCAGTTCTTCTCTCCGTACACCAAAATCCATCTGTCCATCCCTCCGCTGGACATTTCCTGCGGCATGCAGCCGGATCAATACTAACGTTGCGGGATAATGTCCCCGGGATGAAACGGAAACATGTTGCCCCCCCCAGAAAAGAAAAGAAAAAAGAAAAACAAGGCAAGGAATCAGGCGCGCGCACAGTTTGGACCTTTCCTCCACTCGGCGAGGCTACATGTTGCTGGCTGCTACCTCTCTGTCCCTCTCACTCACTCTCTCCTCTCCCGTGATTTTGTTAAAATTCAGTATGTACGCTCCGTCACCTAGCAACGTCTCTCTACCTCCCTCTCTCCTCTCCTTCCTCCCTTCATCTCCCTCTCCTCATCACTTCCTCACGACACGTGTTGAATGCTAAACTAAGTTGGCCGATTTGGAATCTTTCATTTCACATTTACCTAACTGGGTCTTTCCTTCTTCTTTAATTATAATGTGTCTTCAAGCACCTGATGTTGTTTTCATTTCTCCCTTATTCCTTTACAGACACGTATAGGAATACTCTTCTTCCATCTATTATAAACATCAATGATTGCGTACCTATTTAGTTGGACACCTCACACAAAAATAAATAAAATAGCTACATACTAACTTTGTCTCATACCCAAGTACGACCTGCGTGGAAGTCTTTAAACCATCCTTGTAATCCTTGCAAAACTATTCTGACTAACCTTTCCTGTTTTGTAACATTAAGACCACAAACCATTTTCTTGGGATGGAAGGAAACAGAGTAGCACATAAATAAAGAAAATTATTTCATTGTTTTGTTTGTTTACCGAAAAAAAACATAAAAAGTGTGATTTAAATTGTTGACTCAGTGAGATTATATTGCAGACATCTGCACACCAGACTGAAAATATTTCTGACTAAAGCATGGTGGTGGTAGAGTCATGCTGATAGGACAATTTTCCTCTGCAGTTGACCGGAAATCTGGTCAGAGTTGATGAGAAGATGGAGGTAGAAAAAATGTGGTTTAGGTCTCATTTGAGTAGATATAAAAGCAGTGACTCAACAAACACATATTTTCTGCGTTTTATTTGTGAAAACTTGAAAACAACATACAAGTTTCCTTTGATTAATAATTTGTGTGTTACATGAGTGGAAAGGGAACACATAAAATCTCTTTAAATAAACAGAATATTCTGCCTGTAACTTAAAATGTAAAGCAGCTCATCTAAAGGATGATTCATCTCTTGAGTCCTCTTTATTTTTTCAAGGTCTTTCTTATGTATAGTGTCATTTTTTTTATCAGATAATGCTGATCTGTTTAGTATTAAAAGACTCTTGTGATTCATTTTGTTTTTCAGTTGCCTTTTGATCTGTTAGAAATAACTAAAGGAAAAAAAAACATTTTAACAGGCTCAAACTATCTCACCATAAATAACCCTACATGTGCAAATGTTTCTTCACTACCACACTGAGTTCTTTTTGCTGTTTCCATAGATTTAGCCAAAGAAATAGAAACTCTGAACATTTTGACCAGCTGCAAGACAATAACATGACTCAGTGAGATTATCAATACAATTTTTAAATGATTGGATGTTTGGAGATCTTTGTCTTTCTCTTTCTTGTCAAATCAACTAAAAAAAGAGCTCCAGAACTGGGAAAAACTCCTAAAGGAAAATGTTTACAAAAACTGAGAGAAAGTCAGAGGAAGTGCTGTTCAAGGACACTTTAAAAGAGCTGAACAACTCATATAAAGAAAAAAAAAGTCTTCCAGAATGTAATTACGCTTAAGTTGTGCAAAGAAATTTTTGCTCCCTCTGCGTTTTGCTTTGAGTTCACCTCGAGTCCTGCCTCATTTCCCTTGTTTCTTTGCTTAGATTATTTTTTTTTTCTTGTATGTGGTGCTGTGCATATATTGATGCGCTTCTTGTTTTGATGCTGATTTCTAATCAGTCTTCAGTACATTCAAAGATGATGGATGAACTACTTTATAAAAACATGCACTTAACATTTTCCAATTTCTCCTCCTGATTGTGACAGAGCAAAAAAAAAAAAATTGTTTGTTCTCGCTGACACTTTCCAACACCGAGGGGAGTCAATGATAATTACTGCTTGGTATTTTTTTCCTTTACATCTTTTGTATTCCTTCCACTTCACTGTTTTACACATTCTTTTTCACATTCTTCCACTTAGTTATAGAGTCAGTGCTTAGCTTAAAGAACAAATCATTCACATCAACACAAAATTTGCCATGTTTTTCATATCAGTTATAACAAAATTTTCATTTATTGTTCCAGAGTCTTTCCAGAATCCTGTAGAGACAGAATGTTGTCATATTAGCACTAAAGAGGAGGAAAAAGCTCTTGCTTGCCTCAGTCTGTAGAACTGTAGATTTATGAGTTCTGTGTTTATCTTCCACCAGTCCATTATGGACTTTTATTTCTCTGAAAGAAGGAAAAAAATAAAGACAGAAAAACAATGATTCCCATGAAGTATTTATTTTTTCTTTTACTTTTCATAAAGACCTTTTTTTAACCCGACTGCCTCTGTACATGCATTCTGGCTTAAACATAGAAAGGAGATGGCACCAGTCACTTGGCCAGGTAGCCGGCTCACAGACATGTAAAAATAGGCCCTAATTATCACAGGATAGCTCAGAAGCACTGACGGGCAGACATTTTGGGTCTTGTTTACACTCCAGTGTTGTGGTGGTAAATTGGACACTGGGATTCAACTTCTGGCCTCTAAAAGCCCTATCTGCCAGGGTGCAAGTAAACTGGAGAGAAAATGTTCAGAAAAACATCCTGAATAGGACTTAGTAAACATAATCACATCCCTGTACCATTGCATCATTTTGCCAAACATAGAAGATATTTCCAACCAAAATAATTTTTGACAACTTATAACTAAAAGTTGTTAACTAAACCTAGTTCGGACATGACAAAATTATGCCTATTTTTTAAAATATCAACATGCTGTGATCTGGAAATGAAAATTGAGTTTCCTATTCAGTACTATTGTCCCTAAAGTGCCACATAAATAGCTAAATTCAACACTATTAAATAAATAGTAAGCAAATCTTTATTACTGCAGAGAGAATGTCTGCATTGGGAAATATATGATCAAACAATATTATTGGGTAACAATAATATTTAACATTTAACAATACATAAAATTGCTCCCATTCTTACACTACTAACAAGCTCAGAAATGCAGTTGTCTGATAGGGTTCTAAGTGTACACAGTGGCTAGATAATTTATTTTCTCATCTGATTATGTTTTAGAATATAAAAAAGTAAAACAAGTGTTAATATGTATGTTTTAGATTTATTCAGCATGAGATGCCAGTGTAGCTATAGAAAAGGATCCCCAATTTTCAGAGACTCCTTTCTTGGCAGGATTTTGATTCCTGACCTCAAGATCTTTGCAACATGCCTCGCCCTCTCTGCTTTGCAACTCTCCTATCTGAAATAATCATTGTGTTTTCTGCATTGTCGACAATATCACATACAACAGCAAACCTTTGTAACTGTAGCTGGTCTACAAGCTGTCTGCAGGAATCATACTGTGATAAAACTCCTTTATAAATAAACAGAATCTTGAAATATTCAGTAAGACTGTCAAATAAATAGCTGCAACCAAACCAGTCTATAGGGCTTACATTTTCTATAGCAACTGCAGCTAAAAAAAAAATAATAATACATGTGCCTGTGTCCTCCCTGAACCTTTAAAGGAAAACTGAAATGACTTCAAATTAACTAAATGACTATTTTAAGTCTAATATCTTGGGCAAGAACAACCATTAAGCTCTTACCTAATGGTTATCATTTGAGGATGCTGGTGCACCATCAGCTATGGCCCCATTTGCTTCAGCAAATGATGTCTGTGTTGTCTTACACTAAGAGGTATAGTTTCATAAGAATAACCTTCAGTACTCTATGGAAAACAGAATCTTTACGATCAACTTCTGAGGCAAAATGCACAAAATGAGAGTGCATGAAATGGGGTGGGCTTGGGAGCAACAGAGTTGTTGTTAGGCTGGAATGCCTTTGAGCTGACCTGCAGGGAACAAGTACATTACTGTTTTTTCCCGCTGATGTTCACCTATCGGATAACAGAGGGAATCGTTTACAGTGGCAGCATGTGCACATGCAAGTAAACTCTAGAGTTTTTGTTTCTGATTGATTCCACAGCAACCTCATTGAATGCAGCTGGATGTACCAGCAGGGTGGCACCGATCATTCTCCAATCAAGATGAAAAAGCAGTGGGTCTGCTGCCAAAAGCCCTAAACTGATGCTGTGGAACATAAAACCCCAAAGATTATGAAAATGATAGAAAGTACCATCAACCAGCAGACAATCCTGCAGTTAGATACCATGGAGAAGGTAGCTACTATTTGTTATAGATGAGACATTTTGTTTTTTTACTTAAAACCGTCAGTGAAAATTGTCAGCACTCCTATCTTTGAATAGGAGTCAATTATTTAACTGTACAGCTTCTCATCTCTTCATTCCTTCAGGTGTCACTTAAAGACAAGTTACAAATTTATTGTGGGTCTTTTAAGAATATAAAAAAGTAAAAACAAGTGTTTGTGTCAACATATGAATTGACCGTCCTCATTTCTCTCAAGTCACAAGTGAGCACTCTGCAAGTTCAAGGCAGAAATCTTTAACATTCATAAGGATAGAAAGTTTTGGTTGTCATAAGACAATATCAAGTATAGCTTTTTGGCTGATATGTATTTTTAAAAGATGTACTGCAACATCACCATGGCAACTTTTGACTTAGCAAGAAATATGGACTGAGACTTTCTCCAGACACAATGAAAGTAGATAAGTGGTTAGTCAATCCAAGTTGTACATGTCAGATGGATAGTACCATTACGCCCATTCTGTCAAACTACACAGAATGAAATGGTGTGATTCTACTGTGTGTGCTGTTGTAACACACAGCATGACTTAGTGTTTCATCAGACCAGGCTACACATTGCTTCACATAACATGGCATGCAGTGAAACAGTAACAATTTGAAAAATCGTAGAGAAGTTTGTGTGGTTTATGTGATATTACATGAAACAAGGATGAGCTGTGGAACCCAAAAAGAAAAAAAAAAGAAAAGAACTTCAGAAGTAGGAAATAAGGTCCTCTTTAAATGTTGATGGGTTTAAAATCTGAATTTATTTTCAATCTGTCATAACAAATCTTGTTTTAATTTGGACAAGACTTGGTTTTATTACATGCCACTTTTTGTTTACTCACATTCTGGGTTTCTTTCTGCATTCTGGCCATTTCTTTTATCTCGTATTTAAACCAGTTTCCCTCTCGGACTT